ATGCTGCATGCTTGTTTATTATTATGGTGATTATTAATTCATGTATTTGTTCTTGTTGCCTTTACACCCCTTTGTCCCTCACCCCCCACTGCTTGTTTTGAATCAGGCGTCAGACGATCACGAGCACACCGTGCTGGATTGAGCTGCACCTCAATGGGCCTCTGCAGTGGCTGGACCGCGTGCTCACGCAGATGGGCTCTCCCACCGTGCGCTGCTCCAGCATTTCATGAACGCCGGCGGTTGCGGCGGCTCCGGTCAACGCTCGCTTTCCCCGCGCATCGTTCGGTACCTTTTAGATCCTCGTCTTAAATGATCACGGTTAACCACTTTTTCGAAAAACACACACGCACGCGCGCAGAGCAGTAGCACTATTCTCGCAGACGCTGAAGCGGAGATTCTCTATCCGTGGCTGAACGTCTCTCCCTTGAGCTCTGGTGCTTGCGTGCCAAGTGTTTTTTGTGCCCATCCGCAGTTTCTTCGGTTTGCAAGCACGTTCAACGGATGTTGCTTTTCTTAAATTTCTCTTTCTCTATAGCACTTTGCCAACTGGTGTACATTTCCAGCTCGCCACTGACACATGCAGCTTGCATTATTTTGATGAGACATCGTCATCATCTCCAAATTAAGGCCCCTCCTCACTCCCCCGCCATCACCAATTTTCCAATGCTTATTTTTCTGAATTAAAATTGGAATCTAAAGTATATATTTTTTCCTTCAGATTATAAGCTCTTTTAATAAAGCGTTCTATGCGTGGCGTTATGGAAAATCTCATTAGGCCCCATTTAATTAAATGAGCCCCCAGAAAAAGAAAAAAATAATGACACCAATAGTGAGTAATTCACTGATGCAGGGCACATGTGGATTTCATCACTGCCAAATCATTTACCAAAACCAAAGCACTTATATATATTTCTACTCTTCAACTTTTTCAGCATATTGTTCACATTGTATCACAAATACCCAGGCACAATTATATTCAATTATGTCGTCTCCAATTTCCCACAGCGCTAAAGCAGGACTTCTGTAAAGCCAACGTGCCGTGCCGTATTCAACTGTACCAGCGTGGCCTTAGTTATTACAGTAAAGGATTGCCGTCCCTTGGATAACCTTTGCAACATGTACGGCAGTTGCCAACCACAATCTTGCCGGAGTATTGTGAGCGTTTCAACATTTTTGCAGCGCGCAAATTATGCCGATCTGTCGTTGTGTGAGGCATTGTGAGCAGGGGAATATGCTAATAATGCAATAATTACCTGTGCTTTTAAAATGCCATTCCTCGCTATATTCATTAGTCAACTGAATATGGCTTGCGATGACAAACTGGGCTGCATTTTTTTGGGGATGGGTAAGGATGGGGTGGGGGGGGGGAATATTTCAGATTCTTTCATGCATAAAGTAGGTCACTCCCTTCATATTTGGAAATCCAGGGTTAAAAATCCTGCCCAGATTCCAGGCGCGTTGAAAAGAGCCACGAGTTTGAGACATCGGGTAAAAAAAAAAATACGATACAAACACAACAAAGCATTCAGCGTCTCTCAGTGCGGCAAGACGTGCTGCCCCGGCGCGGGTGACTCTGGGAGCATCTCAAGCAAGCCATACACGGCCCAGGCCCGTTCATTTCCCGCACAAAGGGAACCTATCCAATGGCTGCAATTTCTGTTGACGCCACGGCTCTGCGGGCTGAGAGAGAGGGAGAGAGAGAGGGAGAGAACCCTGGAATGGCAGCACTGCGAGCTCGAGATCGCCGGACAAGGAGTGTGGGGTGGGGTGGGGGCACGGAAGTGGAGCCCCGGGACGACAAGGGGGCGGCCGCGACGCGCATGAGGGCTGTCTCTATTTGCGCAGACGTCTCGCCATGTCCGCACTTGCTGGCCAAAAACGGCCACAAGAAAATGTGTGCACCCCGCATCGGTTCGGGGGGGGGGGGGGGGCATGCCAGGGCACATCCACCGCCAGACAGCAAGCTAAGGCGCCCGGCAGCTCAAGCGATAATTGTCTGTGAGGCGAGGCGGGCTCGCGATCGCTGAACACGTCTTGGGCCGGCTGGCGGCATGTCGCTAATGCGGAAAAAGTGAATCTAATGAGGTTTTACGGTTTTTTTTTTCCCCAAGAAAATGTTGGTCTATCACTTACCAGGGCTGTTTTGCTTTTAATCAAGCCAATAAGTAGAGTAGTGTATGTCGTAGCACTTGCTCTTAATCTGCCTTTGCGTTGTAATAGCCAGCAGCAATGTGAAATTGGTATTTTGAGTGCATATTTTGCAGTTAAGCACAATTTCAAATTCATCGCAATCCGACGTTCGACTCTCGCCCTTAGTGTAGCGTTTCTGCTTTTGTTTGTAAAATGCACCTTTTTATTTTCTAACAGATGTATACGTTGTTCTTTTAATAGACTGTTATGAATAGTATTTTTCTTTTAATTTCCAAATACTTTTCATCTGCTTATATAATTGTGCAATGTGTGTGTGTCGTAAGGATATATAATTCAGCATGTGCAGTGCCACGTACCTGTTTAGTTGTCCGATCTCTGCCTATGGTGTCGATAGTCATCTCATTTTTATTAGTCTTAAGTTTCAACTTGTTTTGCATTAATGTTTCACTCCCTGAAAACCTTAAGCCTTTTGAAAAGATATGTATAAGATATATAGTTTAGCTTAAATGCATTCAAGAAGATCCAGTTATCGGCTTAAATGAGAACGTAAAACTTATAGCCTGCGTGCTGATTTTCTGTGGAATCATGGCCAACTCGTGTTGGCAAAGCCAGTAACGTGTTCAATGCTGTTGAATGTTTTATGCTGAATGTTTTTTGTTTGTGCTCCCCCCCCCCCATGCTTTTTACAGTCTAACAATGAAAGTACTTATCCTATGAGTCAAATATTTTCTTAAAACGTTGATAGGGAGATGATTTTGCTTAGTTTGCAGGGTGTTTTTCCTTTCCACTTCATTCTCGTTGGTGACGTGTTACACTTTATATCAAGGCACACACATTGTGAGTGGAGGGAGCCAGAGCCAAACAGTGCAGAAGGAACGGCATCTTCAGGTGTTTCGTGGGAACTTTTTCAAGTGGCGATGACACAAGACCATGACAAGTTGGGGGCACTGGGTTGCCCGATGTGTCAGTGCTACGGTATGGAAATAAGTACCTCGTACATTCATTTGATAGGAAAATGACAACACAAATCCCATTGATGAAACAGGAAAAAACTGTTGATTTCTTGATCGCATGAACATTGAGATGGTGTTCATCTTCTGTTTACTGCCCTGAGCCAGTGGTGTACATTCCACATTCACGTGGCGGGGGCAAGTATATCCAATAGTACAATCATTGGTGACTTCCCCACTAAGTGGTACTATTTTATCGACCCCGGAGGAATGATGGGCTGAGTCAAACCACGCTCCAACCATGTTTTAAATTCGCATCCTTACCGATTGCGATCTTCTCACTCTACCGCCGAGCCACAAACCATGAAACGCAATCGCAAAACAAGCGCGGTCTAATTCCTCTGACGCCCCGTCACATGCCGAACATGCGCAGTGCGCCCCTAATATTTCGGAAGGCAATAGGAAGGGATTCTTGAGCACTATTTCCTGCCCTTTGCAAGGGAAGCGTTTGGTGAAGGTCAACGAGTGTTTCGTGAGCCCTTGTTTGTTCAGCCGGCGCCTGCCAAGCGCCCGTGGCACCTGCGAGCCTTTTAGTGGCAGGCGAACAGAGTACCTAGAGGGCCTGGGTGGACGGAGGGACGGAAAATGCGACATCTCGACGCGCCGGCAGCAATGTGGAGGTGGTGGGGGGGAGGAGAACGATGTCCAAGTAATATCATTTTTTTGTTCCAGGTGGTGCCATATTTTTTTCGTTGTTGCTGTAAACGAATTCGCTTGGAGTTTAAAAAAAAAAACCCCGATCATTTGAAAAACTGAAAAAGCGAACTGTAAAAAATAATAATACTGAGCCGATTGTGTTTGTTTTCAAACGTGGTCACGTACGATATATTTTCGTAAATACTGTACCTATTTCCCCACTGCCCTTACTACGGGCCGTCTCATCATCCCGGCCGCTGGCGATGTGGCGCAGGACCTCTCGTGACACACGCGCGCGACTCCTCGTCCCCTTGTGTTGCATGATGGTCGGTTGCATTACGCAGAACATTTGCAGTGAATAAACATTTTGCTTGGAATTGCTGTATAATGCAAGACGCCCCCCCCCCCCGTGTGTACATATGAATACTGTATCACATGTATTTTATAATAAACCAGCTTATTAAAAAAGAATTGCTCCGTGCCCTACTTCTATATAATTTTGCTGGAGCCGTTACTTATCTGAGTTCTAGTGTATAAGAAGTTAGTGCTGTTGAGCTAATCTGCACCTTGGCTGCTGTTGAAGGAAGTTCATTCTGAACTGTGGCGTGCTGTGTTGTTTTTTTATTTTATATCGTTAACAAGGGATACAAAGATGGGAACACATCCTCAAAATAACCAACGACGCCTGATTCTTCGTGAGCCCCATCTGGTCTAAAGAGCAGGAAAAAAGGCAGGAGAGAGTACGAGGAAGAATGATTGTAGACGACAAGGAAACAAAAAAAGGGAGGATGAGTTCAATTCCCAACGACTGAATTCGTTTCTGAACTAATCCCACATTTAAAAAACACATAGCACGCCGCAGTTTAGAGTGAACTTACTTCGCCAGCAGCCAAGGTGCAGATTTGCTCAGCTCAAAAAGAGAGACCGTCACGCAATTGAACTCTTGGGTGAGAGGCCTCGTGTGCGGTGCAGTGAGGCGCACGAGTTGACGTGCGGCGAGGCATTTCATCTCCTGCCTGTGTACCACTACAGCCTGCCTGTGCACCGGTACACCACTACAGCCTGCCTGTGAACCACTGCCTGTCTTCATACCACTGCTTGCCTCTGTGCCATGACAAGGGCTCTTGTTGCGAGTAAGCCGTCGAGATACGGAAACTGTGAAGTTCATGAGGATTGTGAGAAGAGAGCCAGAGGTCGAGCGTCGAAGGTGTGTTCGTTTTTATTGCGTTTCATGCTTTTACTCGATAACATACATTGTCAAACCGTCGTTATTCAAAACATCGATTCTAGAAACAGCAATAGAGTCTCCAACCTATATGTTTTGTTGTAGTTTCCTATTTACGCAATTGCAGGGCCGTTATCTGTGAGAGTCACCGTCTTTGAAAATGTATTTCTCGAGAAAGCCAAATATGTTGTCCGCAAAAGTTTGTTGTCTCTGCGTCTCTGCACTGTCACGGCCGAGACTGTGTGGTGGTCTCTGTGCACGGACATTGCCAAACGTGACCAGGGGCTTCAGGTGTTGTCCTGGTTGGTGTGCATCGCCGCTTCTCAGAGGAGGTGGTTGCCAAGTATTGTTTTGTGCCGAGTGTACATCTTCTCCGTTCACCCTGACTCTCAGAGTATCTTTCCTTCCGAAGATCAGAAGTCGCTTATATAAGTAGTCAATTGATCTGTTGGTAGATTTGTCAGTAGGTGTGACAGCGGATCTGCTAAGAGATCTGGTGAAAGGTTCGGCAGTGGTACTAGCGGTATGTATGGTGGTAGGACTAGCAGGAGAACTGGCAGTATCTTTCCTTTCGAATATCAGAATACGCTTAAATGAATATTTACTTGATCTGGTAGATTTGTCAGTCGGTATGGTTGTAGGTCTAACAGCAGATCTGGGGAAATATGTGGTCAAAGGTATGGCAGTAGTACTGGCAGTCAGTCCAGTTGCAGAAGTGGAACTAGGTAAGGTTGTAAGTCTGCCTACAGATCTGGTGGTAGATTTGGCTGTGGGTATGGTGGTAGGACCAGCAGCAGAACTGGCAGTAGGTCTGGATGTTTGTTCAGCAGTAGGTTTGATTGTATGTCCGGCAGTAAGTCTGATTGTATGTTCAGTAGTAGGTCTGATTGTATGTCTGGTTGTATGTCCGGCAGTAGTTCTGTTTGTATGTCCGGCAGTAGTTCTGGTTGTATGTCCGGTAGTAGTTATGTTTGTATGTCCGGAAGTAGGTCTGGCGGTAGAGCTGATGGTCGGTCTGGTTGTAGGTATGAATGTACTGCTGATTGCAGGAATCATGGGTTCCAGGTCTGTGGCTGGCTCCACCGAGCACACCGGCTGGTCGATGTCTGACCTGCAGACGTCATCCTAGAAACCGGCGTGGGGGAAGACACAGAGGGGGGAAGTGCCAGTTTAATCAAACATTAGGCATGTTACAATTAATTAACACCCAAACACTCACAATGTGTCTTGTGTCTGACGGCTCGAAACTATGATTCATCGTCAACCATTATCTATCCACTGCTGGATGCTCTCTCAATATCACCGCAATCCCTCATGGTCCTGTGATACTACAATCCATCTCCCTTTTAGACTTGAGCTGATTTCAACGCTCCATCTCCACCATCGTCATCCTCTGGGGCATGTTCTCTCCTTTGGCAGCCATTCAATTACCAGTCTTGTCCGTTGGCGATCATCCACTGTAGCAATGTATCCTGGAGACGCCCACTTACTGTCATTTATAATATAAATGATGTGTCTATTTGCATATGACCTCTGATCCACGTGCTTCTCTTTCTGTCTCTCGCTGTGATTCCAAGCATGCGTCTCTCCATTTCTCATTGTCCACATTCTGATTAATATGCCATAGTAGAGAGTATGTACTCATTGAGAACATGAAATGTAAAAAATTAACCCGTAAAAACAAAGTTTTTCACTATAAATCCTTTATATGCGTGGCATCGGTTTTATTTTATTATTCATTTCTGTTTTTCTTGAGTAAGAGTTTCATTTTTATCACATTGGTATTTTAAATTAAATATAAGAAAAGTCGTATATAACGACATTGGTCTTTGAAACGGGCGGCTAGAGTCCTCTCGTCCTCTGGCTTGAGATGGCTGCCACCTATGGGTTAGATGATTGCCTGCCACCATTAAGCAATTGGTAATTACATATAATTTTTTTTTCCTAAAAAGTGTAAAATTTTGGAAAAAAATTCTCACGAAAATAAATTGTCACGCACAACGAGTCTGTGTGCAAAATGTCAGCTCGATTGGATCACGGGAAGTGGGTAAAAAACGACCGAAAGATTTGCACGGTCGTAAGCACGCAAGCAAGCAAGCAAATGAACTTAATATAAAGGATTTAAAAAGGGCTCATGAAGTCACAATGCCATAATGACACACTTAGCATAACGTTAAAGTATTTTTTTAAACTACGTGAATCTTCAAACCTCTTGGACACCTCGTGACATACATGTCAGGTGTGTAGCTACAAGATAGCAGCTGTTTACATTGACTCAGTCGGAATAGTGGTTGAATGCTTTTAGACGAAAACATTGAGCAGTCGCTCTGCTATTGCCATTCAGTATGCTTCGTCGTCACTTTTGCACAGTTTCTATAATCCTCTTCACAGAAGTTATGTATGTACTTATATGTCGATCTTCTTTCTGTATGTAGCCAACAGTGCTAATCGGAGGTGAATGAGCTAATCGCAGGTGTTGGTCCTTATCTGCTGTACCACCATGAGCTCTCTTTGGGTCTTGCTTTGGAACGCTATCCCGTGGATTGTTTTCCCGATTTTGTATAACTTTGTTGCAATGGAAGAAACGTGTTAGTTGTTACCTTCCGTACTCTCATTTGTGTTCTCCACTCCTGGCTACTTTGCATTACGGATCTATTAAGCCTGCAGTCAGCGTCTGCCACTAAAACACAATCCGAGATTGAACTTTAACATGATCATACGTGAATAAATAAAACCAATAGTAAGATCCTACTCACCTGGGACGGCCCGACCAAGTCAGACATCACCTTTGCTTCACGGGCACACCTGTACAGCGCCCGCTCGCACTCGTCGAGCGCCCGTTCGCACGTCACGCCGTTCGCCCGCTCCGCCGCCAGCGTGCGTTTTTCCCTGGACACCTCCACCGCCGCCGCCGCCGCCGGCACCACGGCCTCCGGCGCCTCTGCCGTGGTGGCATCTGGTGCCACCACGGCCTCCGAGCGCAGCGCGGGCTTGCTCGACGGCGTGGGCTTCCATTTGCAGGAGGGACGCCCCTTCAGTCTGGCCTGGAGCGTCCGCAGGTCACTCCCCGACTGGCAGTGGTTGAGGACGGCGGCGCGGGCGCAACAGTGGGCCACCTTCAGCCACGGTGATGAACGGAGGGACAAAAGGATGGGTGGACAGACGGACAGTCAGATGCCACGGATTTTGAAGCGAGTGAGAATTCCAGTGAGACTAAAGTAATTGAAACAAGGCTCTACACCAGGGGTGGCCAACCTGTAACAGACCAAGAGCCAGACAGTACCCTTAAGTTCTGCAAATAGCCAAGTGTACATATAAGTGCATATATAGTGACAGCTTTCAGCACAGGAGAAATTAATTATTCTTTGCCACCGTGATAGTGTGTTCTACGTCATGCCCTTTCGATAGAGCTGCATGTGGTGGATTAAAGAGAATCACGTGGCTCGGGAGACTCCAGATGGCCACTGCTGCTCTACAATGATACATGTTGTTTTCGTATATTGCTATGTCATTCCTCGAATCGAAAAAGACATCCACTTCCCTTGTTGGTCACGTGGATTATTTTAACATACTTCACCGTGCTGATCAGTGGAGGTTGCTACAAAGGAGCCCAGATTAGGTTCAATTATTTATCACAACTGATGTTAACCATGGCCAGGAAAATAATTATGGTCACTGGGTTTATATTGCAATCTGCTGACCACGGCACCACTGCTCCGCCCCAAACTATAAGAATTCATACTTAAAACTACTCAAGATTTTTAAAAGCATAATACAATTAAATGAATAGACAAATGTACAGACGGGCAAATAAACGTACAGATGACATATGGAAAGACAGTAAATGTGATAAGTGTAAAATGTAATGACTTGTTGTCAGAGTTCATGGTGATTCACGCTCTAGGTTTACGCGGATCACCGCCACAGCGTGTGTTGGTATGTGCGACGCGTAGATCTGTAATTATCGAAGCTCCCCTGTCAAATTTTTTGATGATTTGTCACAATCTGGGATCAATATTTCATGAACAAAAACTTTTAACGTCTCATTTGTATTTCACAATGTGTTTGTCTTGTTTGTACAGTTGTCTTTTCTCCGTGAATATTTGTGATGTTAAAAACATGATGAAATAGATTGTAAATAATCCATGATTACACACATGATTTGATGCATTTGCTGCGAGTGTAAGAATACATTATAACTGAAGTATCATAAAATGGCCACTGATGTCCACAACAGTAAGGTTAATCATGTTGATTAATACTTAAAGATCAAATAAATCATCATCAACTGACATGTTCTATCTATTGCTGGATGAAGGCCTCCCCCAAGCTGTCACCATCTCAGGCTACACTACCGTGAAGGCCAGATATATCACCATTCTAGATTTGAAGCTTTCGTGACTGCAAAGATTCATACTCTTAGGTTTTTTCGGTAAAGTCACCTCACTTGATACAGCAATCGTGCTGTATCAAGTGACGGTTCCACCTGAAGACGGAAGCTTGTGTTGCCTCCGAAACGTCGTGATTTTTTATTTTACTTTTATTAATTTTAATTTTATTTTTTTCCTACGTGACTTTACCGAAAATACCTAAGAGTATATATCACCATACTTCACCGCGATGGTTTGTGTCGATTGGTGAAGCCACGGTTCTTGGTGACTTGTGCCGAATTGCACGGTGAATTGTGCAAAATTGTGCCAAAGTTAACTTGCATTCATCTGAAACTCTTCCATTCTGTGACAAAGTTCACATAGTTTGTGTCAAAGATATTGTCTAGAGGTCAAACAATTCATTAACCCCCCCCCCACCCCCGCATTTGTTTTTACATTGTGGTTGTGGCCAACAAAATGGCCACTAGTGGCCGCAGGGTTCAATAAATCATGAATTTAACGATAATAATGATTGTCAATCCATTAATCTATGCATCATTACAGTCTAGTTAAATCTCCTAGTTACTGGGCATCATTAATAATGCTCTCTCGGTGACTGGGAATACATAGCAATCATTTCACACTGCTGTATAAAAGTCTCTCCATACCATGTCGGTCATGGGTGGTGAGTGGGGGTAGTTGTTTGACCATACTTCACTACTCTGGTCAATGTGCAATGGTGACTTGCGGAGCCCAGAGTCGATGGAAATATCCATTACTCATGATGTTGTTTCCTTGAATTAAACTCAGTTGACCGGACTGACAGTGCTGCACTGTACAGCCGCTCTCCCCCGGTATGTTTGTTGAACTTCTTTCGCACCGTACGTAGCCAAACGTACTAATCGGAGGTGCGGGTGAAGGTAATGGGCATTCAATTGCTTCCTCTGGCCAACAAGGCTCAATTACGTGACAATGTACTGATATGAACATATTTCATTCATGGCATTGCCTTGAACCAAATCACGCTTGGATGAGGACAAAGTAAAGAATCATGAGGACAAAATAAGTTTGAGATGGATGATGTGGCTGGTTTCCGAAAACGTTCCCTTACACGGCGTTCAGGCAGACCTGTTCCAGCTGAAATGAAGCCCTCATTATTACCCTCCACGAAGGCAAAGATCCCCCATATAGCACTAACAAACCTTTGGCACGAGTTGCTGTTAGCGAGCACCTATGAATGCCGGCACGGCACACGAGGGTGTGGGTGGCCTGCACCACGCCCGGCCGCCTTTGTCTCCCTAGCAGCGATGTCCACACATCACACCAGTACTCATTTGCGGATGAGTCGGCCTTGGAGAGGCCCAGGAGTGAGTTTAAACAATCGCGGTGGCGAGATGATATCTCCCTCGGCTGCTATGCAGGAGGAAGTAGGTTCGATCCCGACCCTGATGCTGCATGCGTATTTGGAGTTTGCGTGTTGTCTCCGAGGTCGCATAGGGTTTTTTTCAGGGTCCTCCCGTTTTTCCCTCCACGTTTAGAAACATTCGTTTCGTTGAGCTATATCATTTGTGGCCAGGTCGCTTCTGAAAAAGAGCTATATAGCTCGGTCGGCCTTACCCGGTAATTCAAAAATAAAAAAGATGATAAAATAAATCGTTCTTGGTGGTGGCCCGTGAACAAGAATCGATTCCGGCCCCTCCCCCACCACCAACAACAAACTAAAGTGGCTTTGTCTTTAGTTTGTTGTCCTTCCCCCGCACCTCCGATTATCACGGTTGGCTACGTACGGATGCGAAAGAAGTTCAACTACAAGAAGTTCAACATAACACGGAGTTCAATTTCGATTTAAAGCTTCTTTCGTGACTGCAGTGATTCATCTTCTTGGTTCTTTCGGTAAAGTCACGTAGAAGGGAAAAAATAAAATAATAAAAATAAAACATAATAAAATAATAAAAATAAAACATAAAATAATTATCACGACGTTTCGGCCACAACGCAAGCAGCCGTCCTCAGGTGAAGACCAGGTCTGTCGGGGAGACAGCTGTCTACGTGACTTTACCGAAAGAACCAAGAAAATGAACACGGAGTTCGTTAGTGACCCCCACCCACCCAACTCAACTCCCACGCGTCCCACCGACTCCCCCCGTCACCGTGCAGCACGAGTCGAGTCCATCCCCCCGGTGCTCTGCGTGGCGGAATCTCGCGTGGCAGGAGCAGCCGTACCCCGGGAAAAGTTTCCCGGGGCCGTCCGCCTGCTTGCAGCGCAGCATCGAGAGGTCGACCGGGTCGCCAGGGGTCTTCTGGCCCCGCGCCGCGGCCGCGGTCAGGGGCAGCAGTAGCAGCAGCAGCGACAGGACGGAGAGCAGCAGCAGCAGCAGCGCCGTGGACAGCGCCAGGCGCATTGAGTTACCGTCGTGGGCGGCCTCGTCGAGGCAGTAACGCCAGCGACTGGTTCCCATCTGGAGAGAAGGATGAGGAGGGCGAAAGTGACCGAACGAGCAGGTGCAAGTCCATCGGGGTTCTTTCACCTTTTTATTCCAAAATGTGTTTTCTTACCCCCCCCCCTTCCCCATCAGCCAAGGGGACTCAACGGTGAAGCGAGCGGACCCCGCAATTGGAAGGTTGGGAGTTTAGTTCCCACTTGGAGGGTTGACTCTGTTAATAGCACATTTTAGAATGTGTCATTTTATATATATATTTTTTATATGTACTGTATATACATAAAATACTAGAGACACGCACCAGACCATTTTGACTTGTTAGCACGATAAAAAAAAAATAACGTAATACAGTAATAGTAAACATACAGCGTGACAATCTTCCAAATAAACAAAGTCCATGGTTCTAATATGTATAGCGTTTACAAGCAATTAATTTCTTGCAACGAAAGTCGAATGGAATTTCCGTGATGCTTTCATTGCGGCTTCGGTGCCCTCCTCGGATCGGTGCTGTCATTTTAGTTGACCGATTTTTGCAGTTTCATGTAAAGAAAAGTGAAAGTTGCACACCTCAAAGAAGAGACCCTCTCGACCGCAGTCCCCGAGAGCCAGCGAGAGGTGCGGCCGTCATCTCTCTCTCTGTCTGTGTCTCTCCCTGGGAAGTGCCGGGCGAAGTTGTCGAGGTCGCCTTCAAGGCCCCCAGAGCAAAAGCGGCCTCGGAGGCGAACGTTAACGGCGCCGTCAGTTGGGCACGAGGTTGGTTGGTGGTGGTGGTTGGTGGTGGTGGTTGGTGATGGTGGTGGTGGTTGGTGGTTGTTGGTGGTGGTTGGTGATGGTGGTTGGTGGTGATTGGTGGTGGTTGTTGGTGGTGGTTGGTGGTGGTGGTTGTTGGTGGTGGTTGGTGACTGTGGTGGTTGGTGGTGGTTGGTGGTGGTGCTTGGTGGTGGTGGTGCCCATCTGCTACCGATTTTCCGAGCGCTGCAACCGTCACGTGACGCCTCACGGCAGCGGGCACGCGGACAGCACCGGGGGGGAGGGGGGGCTACAAATAAAATAGTTAAATAACCACACCGCGCGAGGGTGCGTTGGGGAGGGTGGGTGCCCAAATTAATGATCAGAACAAATAATTGCCGCAAAAGCGATGGATCTTGGCTGCTTTTAGCGACGGCGATAGTACTGCAGATTTAATGTAATGTATGAGTTTCTTTCGCACCGTACGTCCCCAACCGTGCTAATCGGAGGTGCGGGGGAAGGACAACAGACGAAACACAGCAACAAGCAGTTGTACAAGAAATGAGTTTTCCACTCAAGATGTGCAAATAGCTCCAGCGACTTCATAATATCGAAAGCGAGAGCGTTCCAGACGGCCGCAGAAGCGCATCTCAACAGCCGCGTCGCCTTCGGGGAGTGCATAACTTGAGCAACAACAATGATTTTCCATCATAGAGGTTTTTTGGGATAGATCACGTAAATATATAAATGTGTCGTTAAACGCGCCACCACCCGACACAGCCAACTAGTAAGGGTTGTCACGTAAACAGAACGTGGATATCTTCTAGGTTCTTTCGGTAAAATCACGTAGAAGGGAAATAATAAAATAATTTAAATAAAATACAATTCTCACGACGTCTCGGCCACAACGCAAGCAGCCGTCCTCAGGTGAAGAACAGGTCTGTTGGAAAGACAGCGTCTGAAGGTGGAACGTGGACAATTCGTCACTAGCACAGCACACCGGTGTGTTGGAGAGCCAAGCCACAATATTTACAATCTGACATCGATTTTAACAAAAGCAAACTCTTGGCTGGTATTTAAGTGACACAATCGTATGCGATCATTACACAACCAATAACATCACAGTCGTTCAGACAAAAACAAACAGGCGAGCTTTGGCAAGCGATGTCATTCGAAAGAACGACGTCAATAATAATTGACGGAATGGAAGTCACGAGTTGGAACGCACGAGACGGGCAGACAGGGGAGATGGAGCGATGACATCAGACTGCGTCTCAGAAAAGGATCAGTTCTAACTGGACGCGGCTGATGTGAAGACATCAGCACGAAGATAACTCACTCAGCGGTGGAATTGTAATGAACGAGATGTAATGTCAGCGAGATGGTAGCTCCTGTGCGCAGATATTTAACGGCGGGATACATCGGTCAGAGGACACAGGCAAAATAGAGTCACCAGAAGGGATGGAAACCGACGGACGAGGCTAACGACAGAGTTGCAGCCAACGGGGTAAACTTGCCCTCGAGAATAGAGACGAAGCTACTAAATCAGCTCATGCGCGGGAGTGGAATGGATTGTGGCATCATGGGCCCGTGAGTGACGGGTTGCAATGTTGGGAAGCCTTCACCAAGAAGTGTATAGATCACTGCTGATAACGCATTTCACGAAGCCCCGAGGAACCATTTACTGTACCATTCTACGGTGGCGAGAGGATTTTTCCATTTGTTTTAAACCCACCGAAGGAAAACATTACAATGCACGAAAGCAAGCTGTATGGAAAGTGTTAGCTCACAATCCCAGATGAAAGTGTGCCGAGACGGCGATGGGGTGGGGGAACATTTGCCTGCTTTGTACTCTAAGCTGGTGGCACTTTCGTGCTTAACGCAGATTATCGGCGCTCAACATTGCACCTGCCCAGAACGCAGGCCACTTCAAATGGCTCGGAGGTGACTTGAATAATAGAGGGGCTGTCCATAAATGACGTCACGCACCTAGGTGGGGGGGGGGGGGGGTCAGACATTTGTGACGAGGGGAGGGGGGTGAGAAATGTGACGTCGCATCAAAATGCGCAACTTTAAATCAATATAGAGAACACATTCTACTTAATTAAATAGACTTTTAATAAATGTTTTCTCCTACAACATCAGAGTGCAGCGCCACATTAAATACGCACTGCCATGACTATAATTGAAAGCGATTTGAAGCATGTTTTATGTTGGGGGGGGGGGGGCAGAGCTTAGTGACGTCATATTTGAGGGGGGGTCTGACTTTTTTTGACGCCGTGTGACGAGGGGGGGGGGTAAAAAACCGTCCAAAATCGTGTGACGTCATTTATGGACGGCCCCAAAGAGCTGCGGTGCGCGCGCGTGTGATGCATCTCAGATGAATTTGTACGCGGCGGCCAATAAGTAAATAAAAGCTGACAGCCGATTTGCCCAGCGGTAACGTCTGGACGAGAGGGTGCGGCAAGAACTCTGAGCAGCAGCGGCAGGATTTCGAGTGAGTGGTTGAGCAAGCGAGCGGAGGGAGGGGAGCGCACTGTCGGAAGTGAGTCAGGCAGCCTTGGCCATGTTTGGGCAAAAGGAAAGTAAAGGGGGGGGGGGGGTGTGATGCGTATTGTTTGTTTGGCCTCTACCTGCTCTGTCTACACACGCACACACAAAAACCTCGACCCCCCCCCCCCCGGGGCCAAATCTGTAAAAATGACAAGAGTCGGAATGAGTCACGCGCACACACAACATGACAATCTGTCGCAAAGTCGGCACAAAATCCCCGCCGCTACGCTGGCGCATATTTTGTTGTTGTTTCTTCTAGCCGGAACAAAGTTCGTGCCACAGGTGTGGCAATCGCCGGTAAGGTGAAAGAGACGCCGGGTTCAGTGCAGTCAAACTCGTGACCGAGCCCACCTACTGCCACTCACCTGTAATGTTGGCGCAGCCCTTTACGTGCAGTGCCGGATTATATTTTTAAAAACACACGTAAATCTTTAAACACAATTTTTTTTACTCGCACAATAAAGTAATTGTATTTTTTTTCATTTGCTATGCAGCCAGATAATACGACAAATCGTTAACCTTAAACACCCAGTCGTTCATAAAAGTTGAAGGCAGTATAGTACTATAGTAACAGAGCAAGTGCAGAATCACTGAACCGCAATTGATAGCTTGAAAGCATTTAGCGCGGGGCCCTTGAAAGTGTGGGGCCCGTAGCTACATGTGTAGCTACTTTTTCTACTTGGATAATCCGGCACTGCTCACGTGCAAACATTACAGGTATAGCGAGTGTGTTAAATAAAAAAAATTAAACCACATACTGTTAGCCGGAGCTGAAATCAATTCGGCTTCCACGTGTGTTGTCCAGTCACACGTGTTCGCCAGGCACGTTAATCACCATCTCTTACGACAACAACGCCGTGAGGCGCGTGAGGAAGACATAAAAACACAGCATTTCACACGGACACACCACCAGCAAAAAAATCAAAACCTTCAGCCAGCGCTCATTTAACGAGCATGCCACGACTGATGAGACCCGTAGAGTTGAAACCGGGTTTGGTTGATTAAACCAATGTCGCCGGATAATGTGGAACTGGAAAGCCAACAGGCCAATGAGAGTATCACGATCGGCTACGTACGGTGCGAAAGAAGTTCAACACACACACAGAACAGAGATAGTGTTCAACTTATGATGCACGTGGTGATCACCCGAGCTAAGGACGATCCTGAGATCGGACGAGACCAGGAGCATTTACAATTGAGTTGGGCTCCGTGTTGGTGAGCAGACGGGGAGTACAAACAATTCCAGTGCTGTCCTCGACTTGAGTTTCTTGTCCTTCACCGCACATCCGATCAGCACGGTTGGCTACGTACGGTGTGAAAGAAGTTCCACCGTACATACTTAAAGTGTGCAGTATGATTCTAGATTTGAAGCTTTCGTGACTGCAAGGATTTATACTCTTAGCTTTTTCGGTAAAGTCACGTAGGTAAAAAATGAAATTAAAATTTATAAAAATAATTAAAAAATCACGACGTTTCGGAGGCAACACAAGTCTCCGTCATCAGGTGGGACCGTCACAGTCAGATTTGTTGTATTGATACAGCAAATCTGGCTGTGACGCTGTATTGATACAGCAAATCTGGCTGTGACGGTCCCACCTGATGACGGAGACTTGTGTTGCCTCCGAAACGTCGTGATTTTTTATTATTTTATTATTTATAAATTTTTATTTCATTTTTTACCTACGTGACTTTACCGAAAAAACTAAGAGTATGTGCAGTATGATGTTCCAACCCGCGCTAGGGAACGTGGCGAAGCATGGTCCAACAACCCCCGCGATCTGAAACGTCGTGCGGAGGCCCTCATCCAGCAGTGGATCGACAGACGGCTGTTTCGTGTGCAGGAAAGGATATCGTATTGTGCTACGACTGCGAACCGAGAGCAACAGCAAAAACCCCAACAGCGACAATCATGATGAAAACTTCCGTTTTGGTAGAGTATTATCTTGTTACATACAATGGCTAAACAGTTTCGGCTGAGTCTATCTATGACAGCGTCTCTTCATCGACCACATGAAGTAATCATCTGGTACGAGAAGGCCGAGATGCATGGGGACCGCAATGTTCACCGCAAAACACCTCCCACTGCGCTACAGCGGTGGTGGTGGCTGTGGCTATAGTGGTAGTGGTGGTGGCAGTGGCTATAGTGGTGGTGGTGGTGGCTATAGTGGTAGTGGTGGTGGCAGTGGCTATAGTAGTGGTGGTGGTGGCTATAGTGGTAGTGGTGGCAGTGGCTATAGTGGTAGTGGTGGTGGCAGTGGCTATAGTGGTGGTGGTGGTGGCTGTGGCTATAGTGGTAGTGGTGGTGGCAGTGGCTATAGTGGTGGTGGCAGTGGCTATAGTGGTAGTGGTGGTGGCTGTGGCTATAGTGGTAGTGGTGGTGGCTATAGTGGTGGTGGTGGCTATAGTAGTGGTGGTGGTGGCTATAGTGGTGGTAGCGATGGCTATAGTGGTGGTGGTGGTGGCTGTGGATATCGTGGTGGTGGTGGCTATAGTGGTGGTGGTGGCTATAGTGGTGGTGGTGGCTATAGTGGTGGCGGTGGCTATAGTGGTGGTGGTGGCTATAGTAGTGGTGGTGGTGGCTATAGTGGTGGTAGCGATGGCTATAGTGGTGGTGGTGGTGGCTGTGGATATCGTGGTGGTGGTGGCTATAGTGGTGGTGGTGGCTATAGTGGTGGCGGTGGCTA